TTATTAGGGTTTTCCTTTCTTTCAGAGGGAAGGGGGCTGATATTCAGGATAGTAAAAAATCAGTTGGGAACATTATCACAATTCCAGACTTCTTGTTACAGTGATGTGTTTTAATAAATGTTTGGAATTATTTGTGACTTTAAAATAACCCTGGCCAGTGCTTCCTTGTGTATAATATTTGGGGCCATCCTCTGAAATTTGAAGTGTTTCATTGGTGTTGAATCTGTTTCTAAATGTTCTTTATCACATGGTGCGTAAGTGACACCCCAGAGAGTCCACAGACATCCAGCTGCTGTATCACTGTAGACAGTTCCATGCTTTGACGTGCCTTTTCAGCACTCAGTGATCCTAGGTTGCACTGAAGACTATAGAAAGAACACACTTATCACAAGGGTCCATCGTTAGCATGAGCCAAATCTAGTCAAATGTGAAATTGAGAAATGACTCAGTCTTTGCTAATGCTCTATTGTTCCCTTGAAAGAAAAATAAAAGTTTGTTATCTGACAAAAGTGTTTTGAGTTAAGACTTATCTCCCCTCTAATCGAAATCTGGACTCAGCATAGTAACTGAAAGAAGTCAGAAACAGTGTTTTGGATCAAGAAAGATTGTTTGAAAATTAACCATGTTTTCAGCATGTCTGAACTAAGTATTGATCTGTTTATAGTTTGTTTCACATTAAATGATTAATAACCAGTGTCAGCTGCACGCACAATTGAAAGCTCCCAATACAAGTGAAAATTCAGTTGTGTCACTGGCAGTGATGTCATCAGGCTATAATCTAACATGTAGCTCCAGGGAGTTGCTGAAAAACCCCATGGTGAGGCATGGCACTTAACTGCCAAGATGGAACATGTGATCTAGCTCTGTTAGATAATTTCCTCCCAACCTAGGGTTTGTGAGTGTGGAATTATAGTTTGCTATGACTTGAACCACAAGAGAACCCGAACAGCCAGTGAGACATGACAGGAGTAGGAATAGTCATCCTCTAGTCATTCGTGAACCCTAGAACACACTGAAAATCATAAACACTGACAGTCTGTAGAAAAGCCTGCTCTGACTCTGTGAGATTCATATAGGAGGAGCTGAAGAGGTGGCTTAGTGGCTAAGAATACTTGCTCTTGTAGAGGGCCTGGATTTGGTTCCCAGCACACCCATGGCAGCTCAGAACCTTCTGTAATTCCAGTGCCATGGAATCTGAAGCCACTTCTCAGCACCAGACATGCACGTGGTACACATACATACATCTGGGCAATATAATGAATACACATGAAAAACCTTCATATTTAGATATTTCTACATTTCATTATTAATGCCCTTCCTGAACCATATTTCACTTTTTTTTTTTTTTTTTTTTTCCCTCCTGGGACAGCGTTTCTCTGTGTAACTTTGGATCCTGTCCTGGAACTCACTCTGTAGATCAGGCTGGCCTCGAACTCGGAGATCTGCTTGCATCTGCCTCCCAAGTGCTGGGATTAAAGGCGTGCACCACACATGGCCACAGTATCTCTCCCTTTTAAAAGAAGGGGAGGAGTGGTTTTGTTAACATAAAATTCATTGAAATGCATAGGTAGGATATTTTGGAGATCCTTTGAATAGTAATGTAATAGACTGGGCTTTTTAGTGTGCATGTACATGAGGAGGTCAAAGGAGAACTTAGAGAACCAGTTTCCTTCCGAGAGTTACAGGAATTGATTGAACTTAGATGGGTTGTCAAGCTTGCATGCTGAGTACAAACAAACACAGTAACAAGTAACACCTATGTGTTGGGGGCAAAAATAGAGATTCAGAGTTGGTGAGTTGGCTGTTGATAAGGTGTTTGTGGCCAAGCCTGGGGACCTGATCCCTGAAACCCACATTTTAGAAGAAGAAATCAAATTGCATGTTCTCTGGTCTCCATGTGTATGCCATAGCATTTGTCTGCATGTACACGCAATAAATAAATGCAGAAATATTTTAAGAAGGTAGAGAATCAATTAGTGAGTCATGTGATTGGGTGATATATTATTTATGATTTATTAAAGCTTGCCTGAAGATTCAGAAAGCAAAGTCAGCCACAAGCCAGACAATCAGGCACATGCCTTTAATCCCAGAAGCCAGGAGCTATGAGGTGATGGCACACACCTTTAATCTTAGGACTCCGGATTAAGAGGTAGACGGATCTCTCTGAGTTCAAGGCCACCCAGGGATACAGGAGACTGAATCAGTCTAAAAGAGAAACAGATCACACGCCTTTAATCTCAGCAGTAGAGAGATATAAAAGATAGAAGCAGGATCTTCAGTTTTCAGTAGGAGGCATTCATTCTTCAGCCACACTGAGGAGAGGGAGCAGTCTGAAGCTTGGTGAAGAGCTCATGCATGGATCAGACCTTTCAGCCTGAGCTTAAGGTGAGAGCTAGTGGCCAGCTGCTTTGCTTCCCTGATCTTCAGGTTGAACCCTAATATCTGTCGCTGGGTCTTTTATTATTTGTGTCACAGATAGGGGCATTTTCTTCTTTTCTAAACAATCAAGTGACAATATATTCTTTTAGGAATCATATATTTTTAAAGATTTAGTAATGTATTTTATGCTCTGTCTTCGTGTACACTAGAAGAGGGCACCTGATCTCATTATAGATGGTTGTGAGCCACCATGCGGTTGCTGGGAATTGAACTTGGGACATCTGGAATAGCAGACGTGCTCTTAACCTCTGAGCCACCTCCCCAGCCCTTAGGAATCATTTTTTATCTGATGAGTTTTGCCTGCATGATGTATCTGGTTAGCACATGCTTACAGTGAGTGCCCTTGGAAGTCAGAAGAGGGTAATGGATGCTCTGTGATGAGTTACAGACTGCTATCAGCTGTCATGTGGGTGCTGGGAACTGACCTCTGGAAGAGCAGCCAGTACTCTTAATCCCTAAGCCATCTCTCCACTCCCAGGTAGGGGCATTTTCTAGGAAACAGGGATGTGTTAATGAAGGCTTTCCCAAGTGTATTGGAGGATGTGGATATTAATTTATTAACTATTAACTTCAGAATGTCAGAATTTCTGAAGATAAATTAGCCTTTTACCAGTACAATAGTGAAAGGCATATTTTAGAAAGTCATAGTTTTTTCTTTTTTTTCCTTCAAGATAATGTTTCTCTGTTTAACAACCCTAGCTGTCCTGGAACTTGCTCTGTAGCCTGGGGTAGCCTTGAACTTACAGAAATCTGCCTGTTTATGCCCCCAACTACTGGGATTAGAGGTGTGCACCACCAAGCCAGTTTGTATTTGCTGCTTTCTTCTTTTCTTTCTTCTTTTTCTTCTTCTTCTTCTTCTTCTTCTTCTTCTTCTTCTTCTTCTTCTTCTTCTTCTTCTTCTTCTTCTTCTTCTTTTTCTTCTTCTTCTCTTCTTCCTCCTCCTCCTCCTCTTTTTTTTTTTTTTTTTTTTTTTTTTTTTTTTCCCCAGAACAGGGTCTCTGTGTAGCCTTGGCTCTCCTGGGATGCTATCTGTAGACTAGGCTGGCCTCAAACTCACAGAGATCCACCTGCCTCTGCCGAGTGCTGGAACTAAAGGTGTGCACCATGACCAGCCGGCCAAGTGACATTTTTTCGTCTCCATTTTTAAGCTGTCAAAAAAGTACCAACTACCCAATTTGTATGCAAAGACAGCAACAGGCAGATAAAATTTTAAACATCCCTGAAATTCTTTTCTCAAATTAGGGGTGCATGTGTTTTTCCTATGGTGTGCAATGCCCTCCAAATATTCTGTCTAGCCCACAAGACCATGTGTAACAGAAGTCTAACTGGTCATTTGAAAATCTGTTTTATTGACTTACAGAAGTTCTTAGAGACACAGACATGGATATTACTATATTTGGGCCCTGTATATTGCTGGAAGACAACTTCACTGCCACAGCTCATCCTGTTGATTCTGCTCAGAGTCTGGGTGGTTTTTTTGTTTGTTTGTTTGTTTGTTTGTTTTCAGTAAGCCAACAGTTCTCACATGATACTTGGGGTAGAAGCTATGGCTAGAATCATTTGGGAAGAGAGGCTCTCAGTTGAAAAAAGGCCTCCATCAGATTGGCCTTTAGGCAAGTCTGGTGCATTTTCTTAATTAGTGATTGATGTGGGAGGGCCCGGCCCATTGTAGGCAGTGTCACCCCTGGCCAGGTAGTTATGGAGTGCATAAGCAGGCTGAGTAAATCTTGCACAGTGAGCCAGTAGTCAGTTCTTGGCTTCTGCCTCAGCTCCTGCCTCCTGGCTCCAGCCAGTTCCTGTGCTGACTTCCTTTGATGATGTGGTAGAACTGTAAGCTGAAATAAACCCTTTCCTCGCCAAGTTGCTTTTGGTCATGTTTTATCACACATTACAGACCAAATGATTTTTAAATTACTTGAGATAACTAAACATCTTTAAAACCAGTATCTTATGGTTATGGTATTCTCAAATTTCTGGTTGATGCAAAGTTACAGTTTTTTTTTAAAAGATGTTTTATTTACTATTTTAAGTTGTATGTATATGCTTGTGTCTGTGTTTGGGTATATATGTGCAGTTGAGTACATGTGCCAGAATAGCATGTCAGATCCCCTGGAGCTGGACTTGCAAGCAGTTGTGAGCCACCCATCATGGTGGCTCTATAAGAACAGTCTGCACTCTTAACCATCTCTCTAGCCCCACAAAGAAAAGTAAATGAAAATTAGACATATCACTGTCTTCTCAGTGTCTGGGCATTGTAGACAGAAGGATCAGAAACTTAAGATCATTCCCAGGTATGTAGCAAGGTTAGGCTATGTGACCTAGGGCTACACGTGACCCTTTCCCAAAGATAAAAATATATATTGCTAGGCGTGGTGGCACATGCCTTTAAAACCAGGAGGCAGAGGCAGGCAGACCTCTATGAGTTTGAGACTAGCTTGAGCTACATAGGGCTACATGGTGAGACCCTGTGTCAAACAACAATGAAAACAAAAAACCACTACCCCTGCCCACAATGTAGGTCCTATAACTGACATGAGCTGTAGCAATGAAAACACAAAATACACTGTTTTTATGCCAATGGCATTGTAATGAATAATTCAGACTTATTTTTGACAAATTTTGCTGTAGTCATTTCTGTATTAACTGATTCTGGAAGATTCAGGAATAATCGGTACTTCTCAGAGACCTCAATCAATAAATCAACCTAAAATTTAAAAAAAATAGATTTTAAAATCATGAGACAATTGCATCCTAAAGAGACTACTACATTCACTCATATGAAGACCTAGTTACACCCATAGGACTTGCAACAAGCAATAAAATTGCTTTTGTGGATTTTTTTTTTTTTTTGAGGCAGGGTTTCTTTATAATTTAGGAGTCTGGCCTGGAGCTCAATTTGTAGACCAGGCTGGCCTGGAACTCACAGAGATGCCTCTGCCTCCCAAGTGCTGGGATTAATGGTGTGTGCCACCACTGCTGGGCACTGTTTTGCATTTTTTAACACTTTGATTACTAACAAGACACATCAAATGTTAACTGAACGGTATCAGAAGTAGAGTGTTGCCATCTGAGCTTTGTGTTGCTGTTTTCTAGATTTACCATCAGATGGCAAGGAAACCTACTAGGGCCTGAAAGGCAGTGATATATGTTTCATAGTGGATAATGCCCTTAGTGAACCTAACCTGATGATCTTGAAGGCAATAAAGTATCCAGCTAATTTGTACCTTAAAAGCTGGAAATAGGGGCTGCAGAGATGGCTCACTGGTTAAGAGCACTCACTGGTTGTGCTTCCAGAGGCCCTGAGTTCAATTCCCAGCAACCACATGGTCGTTCACAACCATCAACAGTGGGATCTGATGTCCTCTTCTGGCAAAAAGTCAACAGAGCACTCAAATACAAAAAATAAAAAAAACATAATCTTTAAAAATAAAAGTGGGAAATAGAATGTTATTAACATGTGCTTCTCGGGTACATTTCACGGAGAGGAAGTGAGTGCAGACAATAACTAGTTTATATGCAGCCTCCAAATTCTAAGGCTTGAAGGTTGAAAAGTAAATGGAAGTAATTCTGAAAAATAAAATTAAGAAATTGCCATTAGCTACAATGGCAGATTGAGACAAAGTTTAAGAGGCACTTGTTAAAGGCCTCTGAGTAGGCTAAAGTAAATGTCAGTCAATCCTTATATTTGGTTTAGATGACAGCAATTCAGTTTAAAGACATGTAGGTGCCATGATAGAAATGCTATTTTATGTATCAGCTTAAAAAATAAAAAATAAAAGTGTAGGGCAGTGGTGGCACATGACTTTAAGGAACAAGCATTTAGGAGGCAGATAACAGGCAGATCTCTGTGAGTTTGAGGCTAGCCTGGTCTACTGAGTGAGTTCCAGGTCAGCCTCCAAAGCTACAGAGAAAACTCTGTCTTGAAAAACCAAAGGAAAAAAAGTTTAGAGAAGCTAGTCTTGGGAAAGAATTGTGGACAAAGCAATGACAATAAAAGAAACAGTTAAAATGGGCTAAAAGGAACTGCTTTCAAATTCTAAAGTAGTTCTGGCCCTCAGTATTCCATAAGCAGGTAACCCACTGAGAAAGATGTTAAGTACCCAAGAATGACATATTCTATGATATTAGACACACACACACCCAATGGGGATGCTGAAACAAGAAAAACTTCCCCCAAATGGAGCTGAAGATTGGCCAAGCAATGGAATAGGAAGGTAGGTAGTCAAGGGACCTTCTCAAGGGATCTCAACAAGAACATCCTCCACTGCCATGCAGGGCCTTTCACAGAATGTGAGACTTTTCTATAGTTGCTCTCTCACCATATCTCTCACAGTACTTGTCTTGACATGTCATTGGTCTGGTTTAAAAGGAGAACACAGGCCAGGTGGTGGTGGTGCATGCCTTTAATCCCAGCATTTGGTAGGCAGAGACAGGAGGATCTCTGTGTAGCCCTAGCTGTCCTGAAACTCACTATATAGACCAGACTGATCTCAAAATCACAGAGATCTGCCCCCTAAATGCTGGGATTAAAGGTGTGCACTATTATGCCTGGCTATAGTTGGATCTTAACTGTTCCCCAAAGCTCTGAGTGTTTCCCCCACTATAGAAGTGCTGGGAGGTGCTGGAGCCTTTAGGATGTGGGACGTAGTACGAAGTCTTTGGGTATTGGACTGTGGAACCCTGGACCTTTCCTTTCTCTCCCTGGCCTTGAGTAATGGATGGTTTTGCTTTGTCATGTATTCCTGTCACAATGTTCTTGATACTTCCAACACAGGCCTGAAAACAGTTACCTAAACAAGGCTGGAAGCTCTGAGATCATGCCCTAACCAATCTTTTCTCTCTAAAGCTTTCTCACATGTTTGTTAGAACTATGCAAAGTTGATGCACAATTAAATTTACACAACACTTACCTTTTATTCAAAAGTATGAGTAACCTCAAATACATGGAGGAGATGCCAATGTTATTTGTAAACAATACAAAACTGGTCATCGGTGGATCTTCTTACCTGCAGGAGTTCCTGCAAACAATCCCCAGAGACACCACAGGGCCACCACAGTATCTGTTTAACTTACCTCAGAAACACTAAGCTCACAGAGAGAGACTGAGTTAATCCCAGGTAACTCTATTTTCACTTCAATTTTCAGAGGTTTCTCATTCTGATCCTTTACAACCTTTAATTCATAAGCTGGTTTCTTAACCTCCACCTGGATTTCTGAACTAGAAATCTCCTCTATGAGACATCGTCCCTTGTCTGATGATGCTTGTTTTTTTGTCAGCAGCACCTGAGGAAGGTGATTTGGTTCACTTTCAGTACTCTTTCTGATGTTTTCAAGAGTATTTTCTTTATGGAAAAAAAAAAAGGGAGGGGAGATACAAAACACTATCAACTTGTGAGCTTTAAGATAAGTGTTGTCTACAGAGACAGCTGATGACACTGTTATTAAATTAGTTTGGAAATTTAGTTCGGACACATCTGAAGCAGAGCTGGGCATGCAGCTCAGTGGGAGTTGCCTAGCATGTGAGGCTCTGGCGGGATTTGATCCTGGCACAGCTAAACAGACTCAAAATACCCAGAACCTCAAGTCAAATAATTAGCTTAGGAATTCTTCAAGATTTTGACATCTTTCTGGATACACTGACATTTCTAATAATGTATATTTTCCATCTTTAAGTTTCTTGTTCTTTTAAGATAGTGGCTTCTGATTTGGAAAATATACACAGGTTACAAAAACAAAATCTGACATCAGTTTATTTTTAGTTTACATACATCCACTTACCTGTTCCCATTATCCCTTTGAAGCCTGTGAAGTCAGTTTTAGTGCCCATCAGATTTTCTTTCATTCTAGGAATGCTTCCTTTTATTTTAAAACTAGTAACATGGTACGAATGTGTGAGTGTGAACTGGAATCGTTCCTCAATGCAATGCATGGCCATTTTTATTAACTGGTCTTTGATGCCAGGGTCTTTTTCTGCTGCTTGCAGAACACCAGGATTGTAGGCAACATTGATGACTGTATATGAACCTGTGTGTAATTCAGAAGACAGCTTGTTTCTATAAGGACTTTTGTCAGGCAGTGTACTAAACCCTATTAGTAAAGTTACAAAGTACAAATCCCATCCCTGTGTTTTTAGAGCTACCACAGCAGCACTGTGTTAAACCAGCAGTGGCTGATCCAGAAAGGAGGCTGACACAAAGTTACCTGCAGAAGAAATACAGTTTAGTAGGAGAAAGGGCTTTGAAGTGAGATGAGAGGAGATGCTTAGACAAGAACAAGGCAGTAGTTAGAGATTTAAGCATGATGGGGCCCTAAAGGGAACTACTGGCTCCCCTTTAAAGCTGGGAGAGGAGCGCCACAGAGTGAGGAAGAGAGGCAGTGTGGGAGAGACATTGGCTGCTCTAAGAGAGATGGGGGCAGGATAAGTGGTCCTTCAGAGAGCAGCTGCAGGGCATGGGCAAAATACCCTTAAGGAAGGACCAATCGGAAGAACAAAAGAAAAGGCTGACTTGTTATAACCTTTTAGAAATGACAGTAATGTTCCGTTGGAGCCTCCAGCTCATGCCTGCATGATTGGAGAAGCTACACTCTAGTCTCTTCCTCCAAACACCACCCACTCAGAGAGTCTACAAACAAAGGAAAGACACCAAAAAGCCCAGTTCTGCTTTCTTGGTGGCTACTGCAGCTTCCTTCCCTGAAGTTGCCAGCTGTCCAACTCCTTACCTAAGCACTCAGCTTTTGACCATACTTGGGCACAAACCCAGCTTGTGGCAGAAATGTCATCACCCCTCACCTGCATCGCATAAAGTCTCCCTGCCTTTGTTTATGGGGACAGCTTCTCCAGCCTTGATTTCTGGGCCTGGAGGACCTGCCTGGGAGTTGCTTTGCTCAAGTACACCTGTCGTTATAGTTTTTTCATTTCATCTTGATTTGGCTTACGTCACCGGCCGAGAAATCTACCATGGGGTGTGTGTGGAGAAAACCTATTAAGTTTCACATCACATAATTTACTTCAGTCAAATAATTTACTTCTGGATAGTGTACATGACATCTCAGAAGAACCAGGTGATCATGAATTGAAAGCTGTCAAGTCACTGAACAGACTGATTCTTAATTTTATTTTATGTGCATTTGGTGTTTTGCCTGCACCTATGTTTGTGTGAGGGTATTGGATCCCCTGGAACTGGAGTTATAGACAATTGTGAACTGCCATGTGGGTGCTGGGAACTGAACTCAGGACCTCTGGAAGTGCAGCCAGTGCTCTTAACTGCTGAGCCATCTCTCCAGCCCCAACAGACTGATTCTTAACTGTCTCAGAGAGAGCTGCAGGGAGGCAAGGCCTGATTCAGGCTATAGGATCTGGCCTATAGACGCAGGCCTCTGTTCTAACACATCGTATACACTAAATTCCAATTCCATGTTGGCATTTCTATGTGGGTTGAAAGCAGATCATATTATTAGAAATCATATTAAATGTGCATAAAGTACACTAATTTGTTAATTAAGTAAAATTAAATATTTTACTTAAAATCTTTTACCAAGTAAAATCTGGTCTATGAATATGTTCAATAAAAAAATCATGCATGCATTCTTTAATTCTTTATACCTGATGCCTCAGAGATATCTTCTGGTCTGCCAACATATACAGGTACAGGATGAGTGGCTGACTGGGGAGCCATGATCCTTTTCCATTGACATAGGTTGACAAAAAGTATTTTTTCTTTTGGTTTCTAGGAAGTAAATAATTTTGATATTGTCAAATGGCTTTTTTAAAATAAAATTTGGTAATATTCCAAATGCAAGTCATCACATTTTTTTTCAGGCCTTCCCAAATGCTAGGCAACTGTCCTTGAAATGCACTCTCTGGAACCCACACATAAAATGTAATGAAACTGTTTTTTAAAAACTTAATTCATGCTTCCCCCTCCAACGCCCCGACCTCTCCTGAGAACCCTCATCCAGTGGCTGTTGGAAGCAGAGGCAGACACCCACAGCTATACACTGAACTGAACTCTGAAACCCAGTTGCAGAGAGGGAGGAATGAAGATCAAAGGGGTCGGAACCAGGCTGGTGAAACCCACAGAAACATCTGGCCTGAACAAGAGGGAGCACATGGACCCCAGACTGCTGTCTGAGAGGCCAGCATGGGACTGATCCAGACCCCTGAATGTGGATGTCAACGAGGAGGCCTCGGCACTCTTTGGGGCCCCTGGTAGTGGATCAGTAGTATTTTTCCCTGGTGTAAGAAGGGACTTTGAGAACCCATCCCATATGAAGGGATACTCTCTCAGCCTGAACACATGGGGAAGGGCCTAGGCCCAACCCAGCATGATGTGTTGGACTTTGGGGAGCCCCATTGGAAGGCCCTACCATCCCTGGGGAGCGGAGGGGGGATGTGGTGAGGGGCTGGGGGGGGGCTGGGGGGAGGGGAGAGAGAGGGAGAAGGGATTGACATGTGAAGCAAGCTTGTTCCTAATTTGAACTAATAAAAATATTAATTCAGTATATCACTATTTTTCTACAGGGCAATAAGGCCTCATTTGCATATTTCTGTATTTCTCATTTTTACTCCTTCAGTGAAACCTTCCACACTGTTTCAGTTTCTGTTTAGAGAGGCAATTTTAATAAACTTCTCTTGTGTTAAAGTAGCACTAGAGAAGGGTAAGGTATCTTGGAGTAGTTTCATTGAACACAGATCATCATTGCGCCAATTCTACCTACTAGGATCTTGGTCTGTAGGCAGAATTGTGGTTCTGGGTCCACACAGAGCTTTTTTCCATCTTTTAGCTCCTGTTCAATAAAGTTCTTGTAGCGCTCAGGATCATTTTCAGCCAAATCGTCGAGCATATTCCAGAACTGGGAAATCTGGGTGAGAAGGCCCTTTGAGGATGCCCTCATGATTGGTGATGAGATAGGCCTCCAGAACCTGTGGAAAGACACGACTTGAGAAAATACATGTCTGTGTGGCTATGGCCTTACTTCCTCTTTCAGGAGAGGAGGGGGCTTTTGTTTTGGGGAAGCTCTTTACTGTTCTTACTTCCTATGTCTAAAAGATTGTGTAACCACTCTGCTTTACCTTGGCTCTTCTACAGCCTGTAAGTCTAACCACTTCCTAAATTCCCACCTTGTACCTGTACCTCTCTCTGGCCTTCACAAACACAGTGGGAACAGAAAGGTCTTTTTAAGTCTTGTTTTTCCTATTGATATTGTTCCAATAGTTGAATATTGGCTGACTTGGTGTCTCCCAGCCCTGAAATTATGAGTGGTGTGTGTGTATGTATGTGTGTAAGAGGGAGAGGGGAGGGAGAAAGAAAGAAACAGAGGCACATTAGTCCTTAGTATAATAACTAAAAGTAGGAACACTGAGCTGGGCAGTGGTGCATACCTTTAATGCCAGCACTCTGGAGGCAGAGGCAGGTGGATCTATGTACGTTCGAGGCCAGACTGGTATACAGAGCAAGTTCCAGGACAGGAAGGGTTACATATTGAGACCTTGTCTCAAAAAAACTGGGAGTGGGGGGTGTGAGGTGTAGGGTCACTGGAGCCAGTATGCTTAAGTTCTTCCTAACTACAGGCAGCTATATTGCATTGAGCAAATAATGTATATATATACACCTATTCTTCTCAAAATGAAGACGAGGCCTAAGAACGCCAATACTTAAAGCGGGAACACTTGATAAATATTATGTACGAGTAGTATTCTAAGATCGTATCATCACTCTCCTCCCGCAACGGAGAAGTGTCCCAAACGGTCCACAAAAATATTTAAAAAAGAGATTTAGAGTCTTTAAATCGTGCATTAAGATTAGATTTAATAAACAAAGAATACACAACTTATCCCAGTGTGGGGAAACCCACCTCTTCAGTCAGTGTCTAGACAAACCGCGACTCCCGTTACCATGGTAACCAGGTCCGGTACAGCATCTAACTGTGTCCGGGGAGTGCAAAGTAGAACGCCGGCTCCATATCCCGTTCCGGATCTTTTCTCCAGCGCCGGACTGGCTCCTCAGAGGGGCCGTCCCGCTCCCTCTCAGGAGGGTGCCGGCTTCCTTCCTGCACCTGTCAGCTTCCCCGGAGACCCGTGAGCCCGCTCACAGGGAGTCTCCCGTGGGGAGGAAGCGTTTCTCGGGGGCACGACTTCCGGCCCGGAAGGAAGCCGCCGCCTTTTCTCCCACCCCGCCACGCGAAGCTGCGGCGCACGGTATGGGTGTGTTTGTGTGTGTTTGTGTGGGGAGGGCGTTTCGAGGGAAGGCTGCCGGGAGCGCCGAGGCCGCGGCGGGGCAGGGAGCCCGCTGACAGACATGGGGGTGTTTTTTCCGACTTCCCCTTGGAAACCTCCAGCTTCCCCTCAGGCACCCTAGACACTTCCCGGGTCCCAACGGAAGGCCACGTCCATGCCCTGTGTCCCCATTCTGTCCCGGGAGTGAAACCGAGCCGCCGGGCGCTGTCCCAGCCCAGCGAGAGCGGGGAATGCCCGGGCCCGCCCGCAGGCCGCGTTCCGCGCCTGCGCCCGCTCTGGCCTTGGTCCCGGAGAGAGAGCCGCCTGGCGGGCTCGGCTGGGGGAAGGCAGCCGTAGCCTGGGCCTCGGGTGAGGGCACTGTAACCGGTGGGAAGGCTGCGTTTTCACGAAGGACTCGGGTGAAGCTGCAGAGCTGCCTTTCAGCCCTGACTCCTTGGCTTCCTGGGTCGGAGGAGATCTTGTAATGGAGTGGTTCTTCGTCTCACACTAACAAGATGCCTGATTTCCTCAGGATCGAGGGGTGAGTGAGCATCCGGACGGTGGCACCAAGCCCCTCGTAGCTACACATGTGAATATCTTTGTCTTCTGGGTTTCGGAAAGTTCCAAACATTGTAGGAAACAAAATGTCCTGAATAGAGATATTTAGGTCATTAATTTTTTTTTTTTTAGAACTCAGTATTTATTGCTGTTGACATATGTGATGTTGATACCCGCAGATCTAGATGTTTGCTTAGTTGCAAACTGATTTTGGGGAGTTTGAGATTTGATTTCTAACTTGGATACTGATATACATCCTTTGCCTGGGTCTATTCGCCCTGGGGCCGAGGGACTTAAAGGATCTTGACTTTCAAAATAGGAGTGGGGATAGAGTCTAAATTCGGGAATCCCTACAGGTTCAAATAACAGCCAACTGAAAATGTTTGGGTAATCAGATTGCATCTGTACTTATCATGTACAGACCTTTTCCCCCCTTTGTCATTATTTCTGATCTGCATAGTAACATTTTTACATAAGAGTTGCATAGTTTTAGGTGTTAATAAGTAAGCTAGATACCCTACCCACCCTAAGTGTGGAAGTGCATGTATGTTGTCTCTGAATGTGGGAGGTGGAGGCAAGAGGATCAGGAGGATCAAGGCTCACTGAGGCTAGGGGAGACCCTGTCTCAATAAAAAGTCATAATTTAAAACACACAGGAGTGTAGTTTATATGCAAATACTATGGTATTCTAAACGAGAGACGGGTACCCTAGGATTATTGTGTGTGTGTGTGTGTGTGTGTGTGTGTGTGTGTGTGCATGTATATGTTACTGGGGGACTGAATCCAGGATGGCTCTTGTGCTTAGGGAAATGCTCTTAGCATTGAACTATATCCCCAGCCCACACTTGGATTTTGTTAACTTTAGGGGCCCTAGAACCAATCCCCCCCATGGATCTTGAGGGACTACTTGACTCTTAAAACATAGAAAATTGTGAGGACTAAATAAAATGGTGCTCATAGGAGCAATTTTTGTGCAGCCTTCTGCAATTTTAAGGACTTTTTACTGTACATATCCTCTTCATACTTAACGTTCACTGAAGCCTTTAATGCTGAAAGGAAAATTCTCCCCTATGTTCTGTGTCTTCTAAGTTCAGTGATTCCCCCCTTTCCTTTTGTTTCTTTATAATTTAATAAAAATAAATTTATTACATACTATTGATTCATTTCAGATTAAAGAATGTCTCGGATTCCACTGGGGAAAGTCCTCCTGAGGAATGTCATCCGGCATACAGATGCTCACAATAAGGTAGGCAGTACAATCTAGTCACTTATCAATATCTCTTGAGGGCATACAGTAAACTATGACTTATGTTGGGAGAGAGCAAAGATGTATAAGAAGCAATCATAGTTTGAAATGTACTATATCATGAAGATAGTTACAAAATGTTTTAGAGCACTAAGGAAGGAATAAAGAAATCTGCCTTGGGAAATTAGAAAGATTTCACTGAATAAATGGTATTTGAGTTGCTGATATTTGAACTGATTCTTGATGAATAAAGTTTATTGGATGCATTGTTTTTGACTGAGATCACCATGCACTAATACAAGGCAAAATATCAGGGGTTGGTGATGTATTTTATTGGTAATGCCTCATATATGCAAAGTCCTTCATTCCATGCCCACCCCTCAAGCATTAATCACTCAGGGAAAGAAATTATATGCATCTAGAAAACATAAGATACAGGAATAGTGACCGAAGATAAGGCCCAAGTCTCACATTAGAGTTGTTTTTATGAGATTTAAGAGGTAAACTTTCTCTTTGGGTCAGTAAAGAAGTCATCATGGAGGAGTGGAACCATACATGTGTCATACCTGTAAGTGTTGTTTTACACCATGAGAGCATGAGGTTGTATGATTGCCATACGTTCAAAGACAAAAATGTATGATTAGACAGATGATTTTGTCATTGTGGTAGGAAATAGAAGGTGGAGAGAAGTACTGGGGAGGATGATTAGGTGACTGACGTGCTAGGTGAGTGGTGCTGAGGTTTGGATGGAAGCATAGCAGGGGCAAAGAGGTACTCAATAGGATGTGACAAGAGTAGAGTCCAGAATACCATCTTCTGTGACTGGATAGGTAGTAATTAAGGAACAAAAATGACAAAAGGACAAATGTGGGAGGTGCAACTAGTTTGAGAGAAAAAAAGGAACAAAAATGACAAAAGGACAAATGTGGGAGGTGCAACTAGTTTGATTTTGAATGTATTTATGATAAGGAACATGAAGTTGAAAACTCAGACTTGGAAGTAAGGAGAAAAATTGGAGCTGGAATAAAAGTTTGGGAGTTTAGACAGTCACCTAAGAGTGCACCTCTAATGAAAAGAAGGACAAGACCCCATGTTCAGATTTCTTCAGCAAACTGTACTCCTGGCTTTATCATTACTAACATTGTCACTATCATATAGTACTGGGGATTGAACCTAGGAGACAGGATCACTTAAGTTTGTTGTCTAGCTCGTCATGATCCCACTCCATAGTCCAGGCAGGCCTTGAACTTTTTACGTCTCCAGTAACTATGATTACAGACCTTTGCCTAGCTGTCACCTGAGTTTTTTCACTGTGGATGCAGATATAATAGTTACCCATGCTACCTATATAGTTGTGTTAATTCTATGTCTAGTTTTATAGGAAGAGTAACAGCTTAAAAACAAGATAATTTTTGTATAGATGTAACCCAGTTATGCAGGAAGACTTATGTTTTTGGCACTTGTCATCTGCTTTCCAGTCAGTGTTCTGGTAACTATGTTATTTTGCTTCTGACAAGAAAAAAAAAAATTGTAGTTTATACAAACAAGGTTTCTTTGTATAACAGCCCTGGCCGTCCTGGAACTCACTCTGTAGGCCAGGATGGCCTTGAACTCACAGAAATCTGCCTGCTTCTGCCTCCTGGGTGCTGGCATTAAAGACAAACACCAGCCCTGCCCAGCCTCATAAGAATTTTAATGTGAACCAGGTATGATGGTGCATGCCTATAATCCCAGAACTTAGGAGACAGAGAGAGACAGGAGGTTAAGTACATGGCTTGCCTGTTCTATGTGGCAAGGAGCAGAAAACAAACATATAGGGCTGGAGAGATGGCTACTTTTCCAGAGAATCTGGGGTTTGATTCTTAGCCATCTGTAACTCTAGTTCCAGGGAATCCAACACTTTCTTCATGCCTCATAGTGCACAGACAAAACATTCATTCACATAAAGTAAAATAATATAAATGTTAAAAAGCAAAATGGGGTGGGAAGATGGCACAGGTATTTGCTATGCAAGCCTGATCACCAGAGTTAGATCTCTAGAACCCATGTGGAAAGCCAGATGCAGTGATGTAAGTATGTAAGCCCAGTATTCCTAATGCAGGTAGAGATGGAAGAATTGGCCAGAAGCTGAGGGCCAGCTAGTCTGGAGTAGATAGTGCAGCGACAGAAAACAAGAGAGACCCTGACTCAGTAAGTGGAAGTCAGGAACTGATTTACAAAAGTTATCTCTGACCCCCACGTGTATGCCCCTTCTCTCTCTCTTTCTTTCTCTCTTTCTCTCTCTCTCTGACTCTTACACAAGGTAAATAAAAATGTATATCTATCTACCTATCTGTCCACCCATTCTGTTTTCTTAATATAAAAAGACTCTATCCGCCAGGCTCTGGTGGTGCACACCTTTAATCCCAGCACTCGGGAGTCAGAGGCAGGTGGATCTCTGTGAGTTCAAGACCAGCCTGATCTACAGAGAGTTCCAGGACAACCTCCAAATCTACAGAGAAACCCTGTCTCAAAAATCCCCCCTCCCCCCAAAAAAACAACAAGAATAAAAAATAAAACAGAAACAAAGAGGCAGGGCTTGGGAAGGGGTACTAGGCTAGTGGTAAAGTGTATATGTATGGTACTGAGAAAAACAAAACTAAAAAAATGTGTGTTTAGCACACCAGCACTGAGGATGCAGAGGCAGGTGGATCTCTGAGCTCAAGTCCAGCCTGGTCTATAGATTAAGTTCCAGGACAGCCAGGACTACATAGAGAATCCCTGTCTTGAAAAAAACAAACAAACAAAAACAGAAAGATAACCTAATTCTTTATACACACACACACACACACACACACACACACACACACACACACAAAAAAAAAAAAAAAAAAGAGATGTTGGTATGGTCACCAAGCTTCTGCTGCTGCTTTGTGGAATGTTCTCATGGTTCCTGCTTTATCTTTCCTATAAAATCACTTACTGTTGAGCTAA